AGCATAGTTCAATACCTAAACTATATTGGATTTCCCAAAGGTGTTTATAGGAATAATGTTATATTGCAATTATGTCAGACACCAGACTATGGGTACTGTCAAATGAGATGTGACTCATACCTTCATCCAACACCTGACCACACCTGACAGAAGAGAATCAGCATGGAATCTAAATGACACTTCATTTAGCTACTTCTTCTAACAATTTTGCATTAGAGGGTCCAACACTGTCTCCACAGACTAAGGGACAAGTGTTTCAGTTTTTGGCAGACAAAGCAAGGTTCTGCCCACAGTTCAGCCTTTCACTAAAACCAGCTCTTGTGCGCACTTACAAAGACAAGCATCATAGAGTAACATGAAGACGCGCCTTTCAAACCGCTGCTCAGTTTGGTTTGTCTTGCCCCCGGTTGTCATGCAGTGGTCTCAGCCTATTAGATATGGTATATTATCACACTAGATCACACTGTTGTCGGCCCATCTTTATTGCCTTGAAGAACGCAAGGCCTAACAGTGGTTCAGCGATCAGTGGAGAGCATTTAATAAAAAAAACAGTGTACTGTGGATGCACATGACATGGAGAAGATAGTAACAAAATGTGGCATGCAGTGATGAGCAGGAAAGATTATTCAAGGCAGATTGCCTTTACTTTAAAACAAGCGCAACGGATCTTTGTGGAAACTCTGACACCTGGTGTGCCGAGGTTAAGGTAAGTGTTAGATCTGTAATCAGTGTGTAATTGGCGACATACTGCAGTCACTATGCATCCATCCTAAGCTGCTGATTCAATTGTTCTGGGCTCATGAATGACGTAAGAGGCAGAACACTGGAAATACCCTAACCCTTCCTTTCATAGATGACTATTTACTCATATTGTCTCAACACATCATCTCACAGATAGCTTGTGACACAGCGTGATGCAAGTACATTTAGTCTTAAAAAACAAGTTCAGTTTGATCAGGGTCAGGAAAATGGCAGCTTAAGTCGTGATCCCTGAAGTGTACATAATCCTCTGTTTTCTTTTTTCCTTTTTGTCCTACCTGTCCCGCTGCAGTGTGTCACAATTGCCTCTGAAATTATTTTTTTCAGTTTCGAACCAATACATCTGACTGTTTCCTGAACTATACCTAAAGAGCACACAGGTGAAGCAGCACAAATAAACATGGTAATCAAGAGGATCTGAAAGAAGACATTTTATGTCAGAATAGGCAAATTCAGGAGCCTCTAACACATTGCAGCAGAAGAGGTTATGCTCATGTTATTTCTGTAAAAAAATAAATTCCTGAAATTTGTGGGCTACATTAATGATGACAAGAAAAAGCATCACTAACTGTACTGTGAGGGTTCTAGTTCTCTTCTTTTCTGCAGTTGGTCTAAGTCTGCAGTTGTCCTAATAAGGATTGCTGTGCAATAAGAAAAGACACCAAGCTGCCAAATGAGGACAACAAAAGTTTGTTCTTGCTTGGAAAAAGTATGAAATATAGAAAAAATGAACACACAGCTCAAATATGAGACAGGAACACTCGTAGGATAGACGACTACAGTGTATCTCGCAGACAGTTTGCTTGCAAAGATTCCAAAAAGCTTCTTGTGCAGTAATCACAATAACCAGCAGATGTCCATATATCATCATGTATTACAGCACAGTGTCTCTGAGGCTCGGTTCATCAAGTACAACTCTGTAAAAAAACGTTTAGCACGCAGCAAAAATGATTAACATATGTGAGTGAACGCCATAATGAATTTAATTTATTGTAACAGCCCTGTAGGTGTGTTCCTTCTCAAGAGAGATGAGTCATTATTGATTCTTTTGTATCTTCCGTGCCTTTTGTATAACTTAAAACATGTAGGACCAGTTGAGTTGGTAAACATCACTGTATTGATCAAGGATGCCTCATGCTTTTTTGGGGGTAGTGAAGTAAAAAAATGACTGCTGCCATTTAGAGGTAACAGTAGGACGTGAAATGTCAAGACTATGTTGCGGCAATTACTCAGTAGATTTAAGAAGACCTACGTCATGTAGTGGGTTTAATAGATATAATAAGTAAGTAAGTAAGTCAAAGGCCACATAGTCAATGTACTTGTAGCTATTACCCTAACCATGCAAACTACAAGGAAACAAATGCTTGTGTAAAACTGGACTGTTGAGGCATTTGCATGATTGACTAACTGGGTAAACAGATCTTTATTGAACTAAAAATAAACTTCCTTTTGAACACAGGAGAAGTGCTGCTACTGGCAGGCTAAAAGATGGAAACAATGCTATATATAATGATTAACATCCTTTTCCTCTTTACAGTAGTGAGACATGCCTGGAAGTGTTCAGAGTGGAAAGCCAAGGGCAAAGGACACGACGACACTGAGAACAAACACAATCAAGACATTTGCAGTTTGTCTCACATTATGATCACATTATGATTAGAGAGCTGTGCTAGACTTTACATGTGTGTATGCTAACAGACACACCAGAATGCAATTGTCACACCATTCAAGGATTAGTTACTTATTTTTCCACAGTGACGTCTTTATACTGCTATAGGGTGCTAACTGCAGAGACGCTCAGGGGGACTAACTATCTAGGGATGAAACTATTACCGGTTTCACTGTATACAGTGGTGAAATTCCAGATAATTATATTGTACCCTTTAATCTTTAATTACTGTAATTACCGTGTTGATTTGGTTGATACAGTCCAGCATCAACCAAAGTCAGCAGGTTTTCAAGATGCAGCAAGCACTGCATTTCTTGAGTGTTGACACAAATGGCAGATGGAGCGTCAGGGAAGAACTTATCTCTGGCCATAGCTAACAAATCGTGTCTGTTAAATGCTGATGCTATGTTTTCACGACAGATTTGTCTGAAATCTGCACTTAACATAACAA